CTCCTTTCCACTCCCATCCCCAAGGTAAAATTAATTGTTCATGTCAGAAAAATGACTGACATTTAGTATATTATATAAAATTTATTTCTTCTTTCTTCTAACTGCTACAACAATAACGCCTATTTATTTTTTTAGAAAGTAACTAATATCGGTGATACTTTTTTAAAATAGTAGTTGTACTTAGTTATGGCTCGCTATTTTTTTAGGAGCCTTTAGCAACATTTGAAATAGGCTTATAAATGAATAAAATCTTTCCAAAATAGTGAGAATTTTATTGAATATTTTTTAGTGGTATAGTTTCCTCTTTGAAACATTTTTTTCAAAAACAAAGTGACCTCTTTATCATGCTATAGATTGAAAATAGGCACGAAGTTAGTGATGACTAAATTATATTTAATATAAGAATAAGACTTCTCGTCGAATTTTAAAATTTAGTTCACAATAAAAAAAATTAACTAAATCATCATCCAGGTAATAATGTCATTCGTTATTGATTGTGATTAACATTGATTCATTAATATAATTTTTTTTTTTTAATTTAGCATTTTTTTAAAAAATGAGGTATTTGTAAAAATATTTATACAAAATATTGTACAATGTGTAATATTAAAATTAATTCTATACTTATTTTGTTCTTCCATCATCAAATTGAAATCTTTAAATCCTGTCTATTCATGGTACTATGTAAATTAATTGACAAAATAAGAATGAAATGTTTTTTCCTAATTATAAATTTTCAATTGACATCAATTTACATCATTAAAATGAGATGAGGATAACAATACAAGTGTTAAATCTATTTTTATGTTTTTGTAAAAAAATCTTATGTTATATTAAAGGAACACAATTAATGTCGTTGCTAGCTTCTCACTTCTTTTTTAGAAAAAAAGGAAATTGTAATAAAAATGGTTATGTTGAGCCCCATGTCGCTAAATTAATTAGGTTTGTTCACGATAACGGACATATTAAATATGGTAAGCGAAACACATTTTTTAAAAATTTATCACTATTCCTTAAAAGTCTTTGATTAGTACACAATTATATTATTTCCAAGATTCTTTTCTGTCAAAATAAATTCTACCCCTAGGAACACTTCTGCACTACCGTCAGCTATATATAAAAATAGCAAGTGATATACTTATCAAATAAAAATTGATTGATAATAATATTTTTAAAGAGTTACCATATTATCAAGTGGTTAAAATGATTCATAGACCATTTTTAGGTTTGATCAAAGCGCTTTAGGTTCTGTAAATAATAATGCCTCGTATTCGATTCGGATCCCTGTGTATATTGATTGATAAGTTTTATGAAATAAAGAAAAAGTACAAAAGAATTATATCGAAAGAAATTTTGAAACCTTTAACTACTATTCAAAGCTTCAGATTATAAGCAATCGTTTTTTTTACAAATTCAAGTTCTACTCTAAAAACGTATATTACATTATTTATTCTCTAAGAGGAAGGGGATGGGTTAAAGAGCGAAAAAATTGTAAAGGTAGAGCAATAATTTAAATTTAATTATATACTTAATAATAGATCCTTAATATGACATATAAATGAATTTATGAAAAATCCTATTAATAGTAAATACCGGAAATGGTCATAGAAAAAGGTAGTATTTCTAAAAAAAAAATTCTGTAGATGTATACCAGACTGCTTTATATTTGTGCAAAATCCTGAGATGAACGTGGTTCTAGGATTTATGACTCTTTATATGTCTAAAATTGATCAAAAAATTTAATGGATACATACGTAATAATTTTTATTTAAAAATTATATCTAAATCCTTACTTTATTATTTAAAAAATAATATATTTGATAGGCGAAGAAAAGGGGTGGGCAATGTGGTTTATTTAATACTTTGGTTTAATTCTTGAAATTACTTGGATTCTAAACTTATTTATAACTTGGCTAAATAATATCTATAATTTATATGTAATCAAAAATTTATTATATTATATAAAAATTTTAAAATATATCATATATTAATCGCCTAAAGAATATGAATAAATTTTTACATTCATTTTATTTCCTCCTATGGGGGGTATATAAAAGTATAAAATTTTTGTGTTTCAGAAATTCATTTTACTGTAAAACAAACCTGTTTTCAAGATGATTTCTTATACTTGGATTTTCACATTGCTCACAAATAAATAATTTGCCCCTCTTATTTGCTTAGTTTTATAAATCCATTGCTGTCAATATATGATCATATGTAAATTCGAGCTGCTAACCGTTTAGTACCTCTCCCGAAACTGTCGCAGGGACTTTTACCAGGTAAGGTTGCAAGGAAAATGACACTCTGCCTTTGTCCAAAAATTATTTTCATGATTATAGAGGTTAATGAGGTTTTTCTTATTTTATATTGAGTAAGTGCCACATCAGAAAAAATTGAATTTTGGCTACTCTGCAAAATATTTTTTTATATAATAAGATCTATTTTGTTTGTAATAAATAAAATGCACATGCTTTGTGCTTTAAACAGTCTTGTATAACTATAAAATACCTATTTAATCAGGTCATTTTAACGGTAATAAATCATGAAAAAGTGAACAGTGGCCTGACTATTGGTTCAATGAAATCCTTGTGCATGGTCCTGTATTATAAATGCATAATTTTTTGAAAGGTCAGCAATAACGAAGAATTCGCCAATATATAATTGGATTTTAATGAGTTTTGAAATAGCATATGAATGAGGAAATAATCTACAAATTAGTTGGCGGATTTTGTCAGAGTTTCAGGAAATGTTATATAATCTAATTGAATTCACATCAAATAATAAATCAAGTCTTTCTTATTTTTTATTTATGTTAAAATAAATATTTAAAATTATTTGCCAAGTAATTTCAAGAGAAAATTTAACCAATTTTACAATTTTCCCAAAAATTAATATTATCAAAATGTCTTATATTTTTTAAAAAACCCCATTTTCTATTAAAAATAATAGACCAATACTGGCCCGGTCTAAGGACCAACATTCTCTAAGACTCGATTGGATTCGGATCATGGTTTTAAATTTTATTTCGGACCTTGACAAAATATTTAAATTTTTGTGTTTCTTCTAAATCAACATAAAATTTTATTTTATTATCCTTTCAGTGCTTTAGCTGTGTGCTAGTTTGTCTTGCCTCTAAACGGCCATTTGTTTAGCCTTATATATGTCTTCCTCTAAACAGCCCCAAAAGAAAGAGATTATTTTGATATACCGTGTATATGGTTTTATAATATTTATTTAAATGTTGAATTAGCGGGGTTCTAACCCTGCATTCACAGTTAGTGCGAATTCACGGTGAATTATACAAAAATACATATTTTGTATAAAGCGTCGCGAATTCACGTTAACTATGAATAAGGCATAAAGCATAGCACTATATTTACTTGCGATGCTACTGATTGTTGTGAACTATTATGAAAATGTTAGTTTAATAACAATAATATAACGATAATAGTTATTGATTTGCTTTTCTAATACAAGCAAAGACACGCAATAATTGAATTGATTTTACTTATCTAAAAAAAATATTTACATAATAATTTTCATTAAATTCATAAAGCTAAATAAGTAATAATGAATAAATTTGACTTTAAAAACAGCTTTAATCAATATGTTTTCTATTTAAATTTGAAACATGTATATTGATATAAATTGTTTCCTGTGTTCATAATTTATCTTTCTTATCTTTACAAAATAATTAGCATACACATATTATTATCCTAAATAATTTAGGAATAGGTTTATAATTAGTTATATATAACGCTACCCTTATGAGAATTTTTTTGGTTGAAACAGGAAAATAAGGTTAATTTATCTTTCTTATCATTACAAAATAATTAGCACACACATAATACATTTTATTATTACCCTAAATTTATAATTAGTTATATATAACACTACCCTTGTGAGAATTTTTTTTGTTTAAAACAGGAAAATAAGGTAAAAAAAAAATCAAATTTAGATTGGTATAGATTTAAAGAGAAAAAATTTATTTTTATTTGCTAAGACTGAATTCTTTTAGGAAAAAACCAATTTATATTAAATATAAATAGACCATTTAATGATTCCCCCTCCCACTCCATTTTTTGCCCTGGTGAATTCTTGGCTATTATCAAAGGTCGATATAAATTTAGAAATTCTATCAGTTAAATTTCTTAAGTATTTTTTTTAATGGTAAATCGCACTCACATTTGGGGGGGGGGGTCAATATGCATGACATAACACAGTGGAATACGTGGGGGCCTCCGAATCTCCCAATTTAAATCATTTGCTGAGAGAAATTTTTAAATTTGACCTGATTGGACGAAATGTATTCCGACATGTACAGAGTATACATACCTGTCATAGTGAATTTCTAAAAAAAAATTGCCATGAAAACTTATGTGTATTTATTATTATTAATTTATATGAAAAAATCGATATAATAAATTAATATAATAAATTCCAGTAATTTTAAAAGTTCACTGCATTAATTTCTACAGTAAAGGCAGCAGAGTTTCAAATGCCTTTCAAAATAAAAAAAAAGCATCTTCAAAGATTTCTGATATCTTAAGATTTTTTTGAAGATTTATTTTGAAAATGCTTAAACAGTAATATCAAATTTTACTTAAAATTCCAAATTTATTATAATTATTTTCTGATATTTGCAAATAAAATTTTTAGAAAATAATTTGGTACCATGATAGAGATTTACTCTCTTTAGTATAAATTATATTTTAAGATTATTTCTTTTTGTATCAAAAGGAACCTAATCTCATCATCCTTAAAGATTATTTTTCTTAGCAGTTTATTTAAATGTTTTTTCCTGTCATTTTATATATATGCTCGATGCGGTTACTATGGAAATAAAGGCGCATCGGTTAGACTGCTATAATAAATAAAAATAAAAGATAATTAAGAATTTTTTTCTCGATTACCGCATTCATTTTATTTTTTTATAATATATAAATTCTAGGTTCACTTATTTCTCTAACTAATCCATGACGAAAATGTGCCCTCCTCTACCCCCGTAATTACAAGCCACAGTGACACCTCTCCCTCCTCACAACATTGTTGGACCTGACGTGAAGGTACTTATTCACTGCAACTCGGATGACCAGTTATTCCAATTCTATAAATATATTTATGTTAATTTTTAGAATTATCCACGGGGACAGGCAGTACCCTCGGTAAAATTTATATTTATATAATTGAAACAAAAATTTAAAAATAAATAATTATTTTTTACAATTTATAATGTAGCAATTCATGGAATCAATTTTTTTTTTTTCACTCACACATGTAACAATTTTATTTTGAACTTGTCAAGTTCATTGTTAAAAAAAAATAACAATTCATTTTTTAGAAGCGATAAGGTAAAATAAAAATCATGTTGAATTTTTAAATTTAAGAATTTTGATTTGACTGGGAATGTATTCCAGTAGGTACAGAGTAAGAAGAACACCTGTGATTTGCAGAAAATTTTTGGTGTAAACTTTTGAACTAATTTTAATTTGTATTTTATACCGATTTTTCATTATAAATTTTATAAAAATATGCATTTTGTTACTTAATTTTTTTGTTTGCCCGCTGAACCTATGTGAACGAAAATTACTCTGATGAAAGATAAGGAACACAAACCTGTAAAAGATATATATAACAAAACTAAAGAAGACTTAAGCAAAATCGACGCATGGGACTTTTTTTATTCATTTGATTTCAATCCTAAATACCTCCTGTATAATGTTATAAATTTATAAAAAAAAATAGTATTCTATTATGTTTCTTTGGGGTATAGATATTTTATTAAATTAATTTTTATTTATGATAAAAAAAATTGTGTTTTTGAGGTCAAAATGCGATTATTTTATTTGGTTATATATATTAGTGATCAGCATCGGGCATAATTTTCCAAACCAGAACCGGACAGAATTTTTTTTAAAAATATTTGTCCGTTTTTTATTTGTCCCGAAAAGGCCGAACCGAAATAAAACTAATCTTTTTTCCCGACCTAGCCCGTATAGAAAAATTTAATTACTTTTTAATTGTAAAGAATAATATTCTCCAAATTAAAAATATTGGTGCCTTGTTTCATGCAAGAATTTAAAAATATATCAATTTATTCCACAAAATTGAATGATATCATATTTAAATATTAGGCCCGGCCCAGCCCGAACCTAAATTATTTTTTTAAAACGAGCCTGGTAGAGATATGCAGATCTCCTGAAATATAAAAAGATGGAGTTTAGAAATTTAAAAATGGACATATGTTAAATATCTTCATTTAATATTTGGAAATTTATATAATTTTTTTTAAACATATTTTTAAATTCAAAATAATATCATAATTTGTCATTTTTTATATTTGCATAGAAAATATTTATCTCATGAAAACTTAATAAACCATTTGATTCAGATAACCCCAGGGATCCAGCACACTTTAGATTCAGGGGTTGTACGTTCAAATATAGGTGTTTATTACTTTAATCGATTTTTGAGGACAAAAAGTATTTTATACTAAAAACAATTTGGAATGTATACGTATACCTGATAAATTTTGATACTATCATAGCTTTCCGGTTTACGATGATTCTGATAAAATATTTATCACAGATTGCCCATCCCCGGTTTCCCGTATCACAATGAATTTATTTATTTTAAAAATATTCTAATATTATCCAACAATTAAATTCTTTCTCTAAGAAATCTAATTTTTTTAAAATTGGGGAGTATCCTTTGACGATATGTTTAAAATGTGCAAAATAAACACGGCATAGACCAATTCTTAAAATCTGTAAAATACCTTTAAATAATTATACTTCTAATTCTAAACAATAATAGTGGTAAACTTTATTAGGGCTATTTATTATTTAAATTAAAATCTGATAAATCTTTAATTTTTAATATAAATGAGACGTTTAAATGTATATAAATATTGAATAAATAGATTAAAATCTCCAGGGACGAATAAAATCGATATGGTTTATAAATATACAATTACCATAATTTATATTATAATCCATTCATACAACTGGCAATAAGATTTAATCAAATTTCACAGAAATAGATTTTATATTAAAAAAAGACCTGATCAAGAGATAAGATTTTTTGTTTGTTAATTTTGACTTTTTTCCATAATGAATATGTTAATGATGATCCTATTTTTGTAATCTTATCTACTAATATATGTTAAAAATTGAAATTGGCAATTAAACGACTCAAATAATAATATTAGATTATGTACGTATTACGCAATATACAATATTAAACGTTCATAAAACTTAAAAAATTTTGGTTTGTGTGCATAAATTGTATGTGTGTAGTATATAATATATATAAAAAGATATATTATAAAAAGTTCATTCACTCTAGGCCATCTTCAATAAAAAAATTTAATATTTTTTTAAGCACAAATTATCTTTTTATCAAAATTATGATAACCAAAATTTTATATATTTATTTTTTAAAGTAAAAGGAATATAAGTATTGTTTATATATCCTATCCACTATTACATATTTATAAAATAAGAATATACAGATGAGACAAAAGTTTTTATGATTTTATTTTTATACAATTTATATTATTATATTATACACTTTATTATAAATTTTGTATTTTAAAAATATTATATTATGTCATTTTTATTAGTAATATATTTATTTTCTCCTTAAAATGAAAAATGAATCCAAATGTCCCAATTCTAGTTAAAACATAAGCGAAAAAGGTTTAAAAGACGAGAAAATTAATAAAATTTTCAGCACCCCAAATTGATAAATTTGTTAGATATTTTATCGTATATTTAAGGCTAGTAAGGCATGGTAAATACTTGTTCTAATTCTGATCCCAAGTATCCATATATTACTATATAAGACACTGTTATCTATTAACGAAATCTTGAGGTATGCGTAATATTTTTTGGTAAAATATTGGGTTAGCCATTTGTTAAAATTGAGCCTTTTAATAAAACTATTTTTTTTAGTTTATATGCTATTTTTTTTAAAAAGTTTCCTCCTATATTTTTGAATTTTTATTTTTTTATTGCAACAGATTTGTTAAAGTGTCTAGATCTCAAAATGGATTATATGTATATAGATACACTTATAAAAACCATCTGTATCTAGATACAATGTTGGATTTATTTGATGATACATTGAATTAATTTTATTTTACTTTTTTTTTATATTAAAAATAATAATATTTTAATTAAATTCATTTAATAATATATCCGAATTTATTTCATTACAAAAACAAACCAACAAATTTTATTTTACGCAATGGATGAATATAACATGATAAATTTGATATTGTAATTTATTTTTATTTATATTATTTTAAGAAATATATATCATAATTTTTAGATCAATATTTCTAGACAATCACTGAAAATAAATCAAATAATTTAATATTAAATTTTTTTGGCCATCCCTTAGATGATATAAATATTGATATAAGTTGAGACTCATCAAATTTTGAATAATTCTTTTAAAAGAGTGTCTTTAATATATTTAACGATTATACCAATATAACAACCATTCTGTCATCAAGTGCTCTGGTAAAAAAGAGTTGTGTGGCTAAAAATGTCTATAGATAAATGGGGTGCCTTAATGAAAATGTTGAGAATGTTACACATGTTTAAAATGATATACAGTTGGGTCGGCAAATTTAGGTCGATATTTTTTGTCGTAAGTGGAAACCCTGTTTTGGATCACCTTTGATTAACCGTCACCTTTGCCCTTAAAAAATTCTAGGGCTTGAGGTCCAAATTATCCACAGGTGTCTGAAACTGGAGTGAACAACACGTAATTATATTTTTTGGCCTTTGTGTTTTATGATCTCATGATGAAGTTACAGCTATGATCCTAAGCGAGTGATATATTTTGGTTCCAGGGGACTATGGTTATTCCATCGGGTCTGGGTTGATTCTTAGGGTCGACGCCATAGTGTTTCAGTATGGAAGGATTAGTGTTGTTAAATGGCTCGTTTTGAGCCGATTTTTAAAAACGGCTAACTCAATATTTCGTCCAGAAAAATATTATGCAAGCCCCAAGATTTTGCTCATAGAAGGAACAAAGGTCTAGGCATATATTATCGAAATCTCGAGACTTAGGCAATATTTTTCTGGCTAAAATATTGAGTTAGCCGTTTTAAAAAATCGGCTCAAAATGAGTCGTTTAACAACACTAGGAAGGATTATTAATAATTTCAAATATTTATTCGAAAATTCGATCGCATAACTTTGCGAATAAAATCGAATCGAACATCGATTGATGAATATTGGTATAGCGACACCCCATGCTGCGGGCGACCATGTTTAAATATTTATATATTTGACCGAATTCATTTTAAAAATAATTTTTTTAAATAACGAGGTCATAATTTGACTAGAATTTGGTGTCAATTATTTTTAAAAATTAAAAATATAATTTTGTAAATTTTTTGAAAAAAACAACCCAAGTTGGCTTCATCTCAACTCAACTAATAAGTGTCACTTTATTCAAATCTTTCAAGGATGTTTAAAATTATATAGTGAAAAAAAAATATAATTGAAAATTAACAAGGAATGTTTTGATTGTTGGTAGGATAGTTTTTATTCTTCTCCCGAATCCATGATTAAATAGAGAAGTGCAATTAGCTATATTAAATAATTATCTAAATTATTTCATATTTTGTAAAATTGTAAGATAAATGTTTTCGAAAGAAAGATAAATTATTATACCTTCCTCAGGCCTTCTCCCCCACCTTGCCCTCATCCGGTTTTAAAAACATTTTTTAAAAAAAATATTTTAATAGAATATACTTTCAATTATACATCGCAACTTGAATTTTTAGAGAAAGCAAAGCATTTATATTTACAACAAAGTATGTTATCAATGTCACACATACCTTATCCTAATTTTTGTCATACTCACAAAAAAACGAGCAATCGAATCGAATTACTCGATTATTCGCTGGGAAAATAAGTTTAGCACTTGTATTATGTTTTGTGACTAGTACTAGTTAATAAAAAAAGTAGATATATAATATTACAATTTATTGCATTATATATTAATTTAATAGAATTCTAAATGCATATATTTAAAAAATTATTTAAAATATACATAATAATATTATTATGTATAATAATTACCTTTATACGTTCACGTAAACATATGTAGTAATAGTAATCTATTTATTTATTTAAATAAAATTAACATTTAAAATATGCAAATCATAGACTAATATTTTAATATTACAACTTATTTTATATAGGAAAAGGAATATATAGGATATTGGATATTTATTATTGAAACATAAAATAAAATAAAATACAATATGTGTTTATTATTTACATTTACAATTCAACATTGTTTTCTTTCACATTTTAAATAATATTATATTAATTTTATATTATATAATTTTTTTTTTTTTAAATTTAAAGTCGGGTCAACTCTCGCATAAAAAAGTCAAACTAAATCATATTTAAAATAAGATTTTTATAATATCCCAAAAGATCGATACTCCTCTCCTCAAGAAATGTGCACTTCAACCCTACAGCAGCATCATGATAATTTTAGGCAAAAAGATTTCATCGATTCATTTCAATTCTTAAAAAATTTATGGGAATCAAAGAGTTCAAATTCGGGTAATCGGTGCTCAAATACCGCCGAAATATACGGGCTTGGACCCGATGCCAATAGCTGCACAAGGGTAAGATTTTATTGTATATATGTATGTGTATTATTTATAATTTATTAATCATCTGGCCATATTAAGAAATCATAATAAAAGCATTTTGTATATATTATATTAGTAATATAATGTTTTTGTATCAAAAAATGGAACAAGGTTATTATTTTTTTAATATTTAACATCTGCCTAAAATTTTTTTTACAATAAGATACTCAGTGTTTTAGTAATATTTCAAAGGTTTTTAAAAATAATAATAAAATTGATTTTAAAATTAATGATCAGATTAAAAACATGAAATTTTTAGGAGTGTTTTGCTAATCATAAAGACTGCCATAACATTCGATTCGATTAATTCATGTTTCTATCAATTACTAAATTCTGGAGATCTTTTATTATATATAATAAAAAAGCTTTATTACAAAACTCCCAATATTTATTTTAAACCCGCCATTCATGGCCGAAACTTTTCGCTTGGGGGGGGGGGGTGGCTTAGCTATTTTTAAAACGGGATTTGTGAACAAGCAGCCTAGAATACGCTTGGCGAAAAACAATTGCACTAAATTACTTATTTTTTTTGAAGGAGGATGGCAGAAATTTTTATACACAGCCTGGCCCAATAATACCCTACCCCCCACCATCAGTTATGGTCTTATATTTTTCCACTAAATATTGTTAAGTTCAGTGGCAGAAAAATCCCAGCTGAGTGCAAACTCTAGGGCCTAAAAGTTAGGACCTTGTTAAAGATATTATTTTTTAAAATATTTTTATGGATAAATTTAAAAGCCTATTGGAATCATTCTATCAATCATCTATATGCTACCGAAACAATGTCAGTAATCGTAATCAGGCGATATGTCTTGTTATTGCCCGATTAATTTCGCAGTTAACCAAACCGTATTGTTAGTATATAATAAATCAAATAAAACAACCCAAAAGTTTTATGATAAAATTCTTTGTCTGAAGTTTATAGGATAAGTATAACACACACATAAATGGAATTACATTTTTCTGAAAATCAGATATTAAAAAAAGGCGCTCACCAAATTTAATTTATTTAGCGCGTTTTGTAAATCCGACTCTGCCGGAAATGTATTCCAACATTATTAAAATTAGAAGTCTGGGCGTGGGGAGAGGCCTGGAAAATGATTTACGGGACCAATAAATTATGCAAAATATTTTACGAGCCGAGCCAGGCTTAAGTTTTGAAAGTGTCTACGGACCCGAAAAGATAGCGAATTTCCACTGACCCGGCCGGGCTGATTTCTATGTATAATGCTTACTCTATACATTTTAGGGAATTTTGCAAACCATAGGGACATTGCCGGTAATATTATTATAGCGTAGCATAATGGATAAGACCAGCTGTTCCCTTATATTTTTTGGGGAAATACCTTTTTGTTTAAACGGGTTTCTAAAAGGCGCCCTCCCAGATGCGACCCCTACTGCCGTGGTTGCTACTCGGCTATATATTAGTTCCTAAATAATCAATTCGCTTAACGGTAGGTTAAGTTACCTAGATGGAAAATATTTTAGAGTTACACATTTTATTGAATTAGGATAATGCTAATGCTGAAAAACTTTTGCACCGGTAATAACTCCACCTTAATATACCATTTAATTATATTCCCTTTCTTACTTTCTGTTATTTTATTACTCATTGCAACACTGATGTGATGTCTCATCTTACTGTTAAAAAAATTACGAGTAAAAAAGAATGTAAATGTTTGGACCAGTGACACCTAAAATTTAATGACTTAAATAATTAGTGACATTTTTTAAATTATGCCATAATTTTAAAGATATAGGCCACCTATGGTAAATATCATTATTGTCTGCATCAAACACATGTGTGTGTAGGAAAAAATTGTATGATGTGATAATTAATTTTAGTAAAATAAATTTATTAAATTTTAAAAACTCATCATTAATTAACAGCATAACGCCACGTGTGCTTTGTGCGAAATTATAAAATTTTGCAAAGATTTTCTTAAAATAGTTTAGTTTTTGTTTATTCAGATTATAAAGAGTTCTATTATTATTTTAACCGTTCATAATCATCCTAAGCCCATTGCCTCACCACCCATCCCATTGGGTCAGGCTCTGAAAAATATTTTTTCAGTCGCTCCATGTTTTTTCTTTTTTTGGATATATTTTATTATACCTAGATTAATCGTATATGTTCTACATCATAATTTTGTGAAATTAAGAATTTTATTTTTAAACCAATGGTGAGAATGAGATTAACAATAAAGCCGAAATATTTGGTTTTACCATCAGAAAAAAATTAACTCTACAACATCAGGTTTAGGGGCATCCAGTAGAAATGTAGATAATTATTATTCCTTTAAAAACAAATAAAAATGAGATTAATTTGTTTACCCGATTATTTATAAGTACCAGCACGGATTTAGTTTTTATTTTTTGGGCCCAAGCCCAGCTTTAGGAAGGACTTTGGATCTAATTTTGGAGGTACTTCTTCTAAGTTGAAAAGAACTTGTATGGCACATGTCTTTCCGAGAAAAATTTCCGAATATATAAAATGTGAATCAAAGTTTAGAACTGGGTCTCCTAGCCATCTTAATCTTTGTTATTAATTCTGAATATAGCAGCTAGGGCACCCTATTATAATTTTTTGTTATTATTATAATAGATATTCTCATATTCTTTAAGTCTAAAAATCATCTTCTATTCTGATAGTTTAGAACTCTAAAAAGAAAATAGATCAGCTAGGACGTAGACTAAATATTTTAAAAAATATAGAAGGTAAGATGAACAAAATAATAAAATATTGTTTATTAAAAAGGATCACGTGCTATAATATATAGTTTATAGAAGTTATATCGTCACTTATTTTTGATAACTCAATTGGTCCAGTTAGTTTAGACGTTCTTTCGGTCTTAGGTTTGAGCCCAGGTTTGGGAATTTTTTGCTGATATTAATTTTATAATAGAAATGAAGCTCCCCTAGTGAGATTAATGGAAGTGATGTAGATGTCTGTCAACAAATAGCACTAAACAACGCCTATACCTTTTTTTTAAAAAAGAAACAATACACATCTTAATATAATATAATTAGACCTAACCAGCATTACTGAAAAACTCCAGTGCTGTGATCCAACTAATGTTATGCCGTTTATCAGTCAAGATCTCATCTCTGAGCCACACACCGCAATCCTGGCCCGATAAGTTATACAAAACATTTTACAAACCAGGCCAGATAACTTACATAAAATATTGGGTCTGGCCGGATAACCTATACCAAATATTTTGCAGGCCGGGCCGGATAGCTTATACAAACTATTTTAATCGCCGAACAACTCTTACAAACATCGCGCCAATTTCACTGATACCAAATTATTGTTTATGTTTTATATTCTAAAATTATTTATTATCTTATTTTTAAAACCAATTAAGAACTATTAACTAAAATATAGATTGCAACAAAAAAGGAAAACTTGAATGGTTTAACGTTATAAAATACAAATTAAAACTTCTCCACTTTTGCTCAACCACTGAGTTGTTAATAATTTAATTCCTCTTTTTTTTAAAAAAAAACTAACATAAATTATAATTTTTAAATTTTTTTAAAACAATCGCTTTAAAATTATAATTTTATAATTATTTGATAACAATGTTTAGAGATAGTGTATTTATATTATACTGTATATCTATGATTATATTAAATAGTAAGTATATAACAATAATCCCCTTTATTGTTATATTTTATATATTTCATATATTTCATTCACGGCACAGCATGATTTCGGTTTAAAAATTTTAATTCATTTTATATAATATTATTTTATTTAAAATTAGAAATTTAATTTTTAGGTTGTACCACATTGCATGTTTTCCTTTTTTTTAGTAATCACTCAGAAATCTACAGAGATCAAATTTTTAAACCCGGTCAGGAAGTGGGTTGGGCATTTAAAAATTACAAAAAATTTAAGCAATTTAGTTCAAGTTTTTTAAATGCGTATCAAGGGCCTTACAATGATTCTAGACTGCCTTTTCAATACTTACTGTGCTTCACATCCATCCTACGTATCCTTCCAATCTCCAGTAATCGAATGCTAAATTCAATGCTTTTGATTTTTTATGTTAACTTGAATTTATAAAGTATTAATAGAAAACCATAAAGTTATTTATTCTAGATGGTGATTTAAACAATGCCAAAGTATAATAGTTGGATATAATGTGCAAAGGCGCTTTGCCACACCCGATTTATTACCAGTTATGAGGCTGGCGACATCGTTGAAGGAAGAAATTTAATTTTTTAGGCAAATTTTTTAGATAAATAATTTTCTTTTTTATAACTTTTAAACCAAAAATTAAAAAAAAATATTCATTTGCTCTTCATCAAAGACTCAAAAATAAGTGAATATAAGTAAATATATATTAAAATACCGTTATAAAACATCCCCCTAATTTTTGAAAAATTGGGAGAAATAGCACCTTTTTTCTCATTGATAGGGGCACTACATGTATGCCCGACTACAAACCTTAAAATTTTAAAAAGTTTTAAAATTATTTGTTTAATATAAAAATAAGGTTTTTAAAATCCGGTTGGTAGGGCCATAAAGGTCTCCTTTATTTGAATTAAACATTTAGAAAAATTTTAAGAAGTTGCTTTTATTCGGTTAAATATAATGAGTTATAAAAAAATTAAATTTATTTCTGCGCTGTATTTTTTTTAGCCGTATATGTGTGCTGTAAACGTTACTTCAAGTTTGAAAAAGGAATATCGGTACTCGTTACCTTGTTAAAAAGGAGCGCGTTACACGCTATTCAAAAAAAGTGAATCGTTACTCATTACTAGTGTTGTTAAACCGCTCGATTTGAGGCGATTTGTAAAAACGGCTAACTCATTGTTTTATTCAAAAAAATATTATGCAAAGATTTTGCTCATAGTTGACACAAAGATTTGGACATCTATTAGCGAAATCTCGAGGCTTAGACAATATTTTTCTTAAAAATCGGCTCAAATCTAGCCGCTTAACAACACTACTCATTACTTAA